ATAGCAATCAAATATGTGAAATAAGTAAAAGACTTAAAGAATGAAAGAAACACTGCAACTTTATTAGAGACAAGAAATGCGGTAGACAAATAATTTATTGCAGACATTAAAAAGCGAAAGTGTGCTGTTGAATTGAGAAAAATATTTACACGAGATAGACGTCAGTTTTTTGGTAGTCGCAAAAGTTTAACAGCACCGGAAAATGAAATTTTAAACATGCTTTTTCGAGAAGTTGACAAAATGTAGAAATTATTATTTATTATTTTTATTTTTATGTATTTTTTTTCCAATATCTGTAAAAATCATTTTATTTTGAAAAAATGTTACATTATTCAAAAATTTGTTTCAAAATTCCGTATACATTTATATTCTCCGAATAATCAAGGTTGATGCGTATAAATGTCTGATTGTAAAATATAGACGTGTAGGCGTGTGTAGGCGTGTTATGTAATTGCACGTAATTGTATTGCTCTTGCACTGATCAAATTGCTAAATTATTTAAAACAAATTAAACATAGAAATATATCAAAGTATCAGGTACTTGTGAATATATAATTGAAATCATTATTATTATTAACTTTTATTTTGTGAGTTATTTGTTATTTTATTCAAATAATCATAAGTATAAAGAAAAAATATAATAATAATATAATAATAATAATAATAATAATTCACGTGATCATAAATCATAATCAATATTTTTACAATATTTTATATTAAGCAGAAACAACTATACAACTGTTCCGTTTTTAAAAAATATATATCCAAAAAATGTACGTTTGAATACAACAAAAATACAACATAGTGTGCGCGAGGAAGCAGGCGAAAAGCAATGACGTTACTCAAGCGAATGTTTAGAGAGACCAACTAAGTTGACAAAGCGTTGGTTGTGAAGAGTTGAATCAAAGAGAGATAGAGAGGAAGAGAGACGGAAAGCGAGAGAGAAAGAAAGAAAAATATTTTATACTTTTCTAAAATAAAGTTTTTAAGAGAGAGACTATATATTTTTTTCAAATATTACATAAAGAAAAATTATTTAAAAAAATATGGATATTGTTGTTTTATATATATGTATGTAAAAGACAAGAATAGAATGTTAAAACGGATTGTCGGTTGATTGTGTGCGGTGCAAAGGTAGTTGGTGACCACGATGCCCGTCATTCGTAAGGATGTCCAGCGAGACGGAGAAGATCCACGCTCGAAGAAGGTCGACAAACGAGTAGCGTCGGCGCTGCCCTTGCAAGCTTTCTCGTGTATTGATCCTCATAATTCGAGCGGGGGTGGAGGGTGGCAAAGCGGGGGCGACGGGGTGATGGCGGCAGAACGGTTGGGGCTAGAAGGGGAAGCACAGCAGTTGGTAGCGGAGAGGTGGCGGATAGGGGGGCTTTGAGCCCCACCTCACCAACCGAGAAACGTATGCGTTGAGGCACAGAACACGGCTCGGGGTGGCTGGAAGAACGGAAGAAAGGAAGGAGCGAAGGAGGCAGAGTAGGGCACACCCGCGACCAATAATAATCCAGCCGCGTTATGATAATGTCATATCATAGCGCTACGCGATATCTCTATGCGTTATGATTGGAGCCCCGAATCTCCCAATGGAATCGCGCAAACGTGTCTTCATCCATATTCATACAGAATTTTCCTGTCTCTCTTCCTCTGTGTTACATTTGCAGAATACATATCTAACCGTAATCTCCCACGGTTGAAACTAAACTGATGAATATTTCAAGAAAGACGGTTCAAGTGAGTACGTCAATTTAAAAATATGTTTTTAAAGAGAAAATTTTTATTACAATTAAACTTGAATTATTTATTATGCTGATATTTATAATTTTAATAATTTTTAACATTTTTAATTCGCACTGTGGACTTTTTTAAAATAAACGCTTATATATAACGAGTGTTGTTTGATGTAATTTGAACGCTCTTATCTGCATAATTTTGTGACAGACAAATATCATAACACATAAAATATTAGTAGACATATAATTAACTGAAAGAAAACCACATACATAAACATTTTTACTTAAATTTAGTTAATTACTTGGTTGAAACCACTTTAAATTCTAGTCTTGAGTTTTCTTAACCGGAATCCGAGAAATCTTTAAAATTATAAACATTTGCAAACTATGTGCGCGTTTTCTCATTTTGAGATCATGGAAAACGTTTCACCGGCACATTTACCGTAACGCAACACAGCGACTGTTTGTATGTACATACCGTAGCGCCCTGAGTTGCTCTCCTTTACATCGATATTTCTTTCCCCGCGATAAAATTCAACCTTTCAGCCGACCAGTGTTTTACGGCCAATAGGAGGCTAGGAAGAGAATCGCCCGAATAGCGCAATACACGTAGGTATGGCGTTTTATTGGCGGTGAAAATGGGTTCGTATATAGCTTTCGGAGTATGGTATCGGAGGATATTGATCCTCGCGCGTCCGTCAAGCAGTCTGATGGTCTTCGAGTCTTCCCCGCTCCTGCGCTTCTCGCTCTCATCGTCGCTTTCTTTCTGTCTTGCATCTCACGATACAAGAAAACTAACTCATACAACTGTTCGTTGCCTCGTGTAAAAATTGTGAATACCTTTATCATGATCATAACGCTCATTTTCTCGCAATGATAATATATATTTATTACATATATGTGTGTGTGTGTGTGTGTGTGTGCGCGCGCGCGCGCGTATATAAGCTTTTTTAAACTTAAAACTATTAAAATTGACATTTGATTAAATACATATAAATATTTTATAAGTATGTCGAAAGTAATGATAAATCTTTTTTGTATCATGGTGTTGGTTTCGTCACCGAGTGAATTCCTAATTCTTTCGGAAGAAACGTCTCGTCAGTTCCGCAGGAACATAGGGCGCACAATGAGAAAAGAACGTCGGGTGGCGAAAAGTGGACAGTGGTCTGTAGACTGGATAGAAGATTTGCGCGCGCATCTCCGGCGCCCCACCAGCATAGATGACCTTTTGAGCCCACCTACACACGAGTAGAAGTCGTACCACTCCTTCGCGAGCATACCGCGAGCAAGTTGTTGGCGCACCTCGATGGGTGCTCCTTGTACTCGTTGTTCTCTCTTCTTCGGCGGAAAAATTCAATATTAATAACAAGGCGGGGTAAAAGAAAAGTCCGCAATGCGCCAAAGGCGCGGCGGATCGCGCATCCGCCATAAACCTTCGCGATTTCGCGAGGTGTGAGATCATAATGCCGACCAATGAGTACGCGAGGGCGTACAGTCCACGAGGATAAGACCGATATGATGGATTTATGGATCTAATAAAAAGAGCTCGCGGGATTGGCCCTCGCGGAATATGACGGGCGGGGCTGGCAACAGAGACGGTACACCCCGTTGAATTCAGCCACAACCACCAGCGTCACCCACCCTTCCGTCGTCCTTTACCTCCTCATCCACCTACAATCTCCCTCGCGTTCCCCTGCAGCGACCACGAGAAGGGGAGAACGTCCTCTCCCGTCCTCCGTGATGTCGAGTGGGGATGCAATCTTGATGTATTTCACCTTCTCCTCATCTCTCTCCTTCTCCTTTCTCTCTCTCTTTCTCTGTCTCTCTCCTTCTCTCTCTCTCTCTCTGCTCCTCTATCTTCTCACTTTACGTTCTTTTTCTTCTTCTCTCTTTCTCTTTCATTTTCGTCATTTCTGCATTTTCCCGTTTCCTTACTACTTCCTGATCCTCCTCTATTAGATCTTGAGATCAGACGACGAAACAAGTGAAAGCCGTATGTGAAGTTATATTTACTCACCCGTAGATGGTTCTTAGCACTTTTGGTCAGTTCTATTTGGATTCGAGTATTTTTTTTTTTTTAATACAAAAAACGACTTATTTGATTTTAGTAGTTTTAGTAAAACAATTGCATATTTTTTTTGTTATAAATAATAAATATAGTTTTTATAGTAATAATTTTTCTGAAATGACTATAAATTTCAGTTCAGATAAAAATTAATATTATCGATATTTACTTGATAAAAATCAACACTATCGATATTTACTTTGTAACTTTTAGACACAAAAGTAACGATCATAAGTACAAAATATTACATTTGTAAAGTGACATAAAATTTCACTTATTTATTTTAAAGTACTGCAACAAATCCGAGAGATAATAAATACCATATGATTTCGAACTGTTTTAAACTTTATCGTTTTTGTGTTGAAAGTTACGACTACAGATAATACACACACACACACACACACACAGACAAATATACACAGAGCGTCTCGCTGCGCTTATAGAAGCGCGTTCTCCTTTTTCATTCTCGCTTTCTTCTTTTATTTCGCTACTCCCGGAAGTTCTATACAGAACGAGTACTGAGAATGCTGTATTGCAAAGATTTTCTTTCCTTATAAAATTTTATTGTTATCAGAATAGCCACTCTGCATCGATGCTTCTTCTCGTTTTCCTTATGCTTCAGTAGTTTTTAACGTTTGTTACACTGAAGAAAAAAACTATCTCACTCTCTCTTAAAATAAAAAAATTTTATTTTATTCAAAAAAACAATTTACTTAGTGAGTACTAAAGACATATTTACATGTATATATTCAAAACATGTTTTCTTAATTTAAATATTTATTTACATGCTTACAAATATATAATTCTCAACTAACTATTTTTATACTTTAATTTATATTTTTTATTTTAATTGTATAGAATATTTATCAAAGTGCATTTTTGTGTTAGAAAAAACTTAGTTTTTAATTAAAAAAAAAACGGTTACATTGGTTTTATGGAATATATTGGATTAATTGATTTAATTTTAATTATGAAAAAAAGGATTTAATTGTAAAATGATATAATAATTTTATTTGAATTTAATTAAGAATATGTACAAAAAAATTAAATTAAAACAACGATACTAATAAATGAATAAATAAACAATTTCTTCAATAAAAAAAACAAATATTTAAAGAGAATTTATATTTATTCGATTTAAAACAATTTTTTTTTCAGTGTATACTATACCGAAATTAACGCGATATCTGAGATAGAAGACATATAGTGATATAAAATTGTGCCACAGCACGATTTATAATTATAAGCAAATTTCGCGATCTCTTATTTCATTTACATAATTCTTAATTTGTACTAACTCAGAACGAAACAACACTCGAAAGTATTTACGATATACAATGTTAGATACAGAGGGATGTTTTTTTTTTAGCCGATTGTCAGAGTTACTTCCTAGGAATAGGGAGGGATTCCGAGAGATAAATAATGTCCCCTTTCTCCTCCCTTCCAGACACGAGATAGGTAATTAATCTGTATAATACGCCATAGTTGGAGTCAGTCATCTATTTCTTCTTGCGGGAGAAATTTCTTCGTTCCATCCCCTGGACAAAGACAAAGCGAGTTCTATTAGTGATTTTGAATAACATCATTATTTCTACAAATGCGCATTATTAAATGTACAATATTATAAAATCAAAACTTTATACAAGATCTCAGAGAAAATTATACTTATATATATAAGAGAAAGAAAAATTACTTTTAAATAAACTTTTATATGAACATTTTTGTATTAAGTTTGAAAAATAACAAACAAAAAACTATCAGACTCACATTAAAAGAAAAGATATCGTGATAATATTTTGTTGTGCTGTTACATCTTTTTTTTTTTCAGCAAGACTTTTGAAGCGACTTATAAAGTTATGTACAATATAGCTTCTGAAAAGTTTGTGAAAAAGCGTTTTCAAAGCCGCAGCTTATGGCTGCAACGGCGCAGCCCCTCGTGTCGGCGTATTACGCCAAGATAAATCTTTAAAAACGGTCGACGCTTACCAGGGGGCGTTAGTCAGCCCCTATCTGAAAATATACAGCAAACTCGCCGATTTAGAAATAAACTGTTTACAGCGTGTTACTCCGCGCCGCAGGATATCCGGGGCATACTCATCCCGCGCGCACCGCCACCCCGTTCCCTCCTCGCCGCGTTGTGTGAACGTTGAGAAAAGGGTGAATTCCACGTGGCGCACAGAAGTGGAAACGAAGGTAGGAAGAGGGTGGTAAGCGGAGGAGTGTGCCGTGAGGCATTTCAGTACGTTATCTAAACGCGTTGAGTTTTCGTCTCGGGGTGAGCCGGGAAAGTTCAGGTGGAAAGGAGCAGAATAGCGGGCGGAAGAGGAGGGGAGAGGGTGATCGCGAGCTCGCTGGCATTGCTTAGCCGTTTATTCTTCATAGCAATGGTTTCGAGGGTTTCTCTCTGAGAGTAGCTGCTCGAAAAGGAGGAGGAGGAGGAGGAGGCGGCAGGGAGAGGTGAGACAGAGTGGGGATGAGATCAAGATATAACCACGGAGAGAATTACTTTCAGGCTCCCAGCCGCATTATATCCACGCCGCTTCGGCGGGGGTGGGTTACAGGGGTGGCGGAGGAGGAGGATGGACCGGTTGGTTCAGGGCGATAGAAGAGGCAGAAGCAGACGCGAAGTGGGGGAGGTATAGCCGAGGAGCGGCTCTTTAATGGCCGGATCTCGGAAATTGTGCGCACATATATCTGCTGGCAGATTTATGAAAGTGCTTTTCTTCTGAAGTGGGGAAAGCTGCTGCTGCTGCTTCTGCTGCTGCTGGTGCTGCTGCTGCTGGTGCTGCTGCTGCTACTGCTATTACCACCGCCACCGCCGCCGTCGTTGTTACTACTGCGTTCTGTTGCCGCCGCCGTTGCCGGCGGTGCTGCTGTCGCTGTTATTGCTACTACTACTGGATTTTGGATAGTGCCGGTGGTGATGGTGACGGCGATGTTGGTAGAGGAGAAAGCAGCGGCAGTAGCGGGGGGAGGCGGGCGATGGCAAAAGGAGAGGGGTTAGTATACGCTTTACCCCACAACCCAGGACTTTCGAGCCTTGCTTCGCCCTCTACTCACCAAGCCGTCTCACCTTTACCGATCGAGGGGAGAATCTCGCTTTCTATCTTTCTCCCTACCCTTGCTACACTCGCTCACCTTCAATGCAAACTTTCCTTCTCATCCTTTCTTTTGCGATCTCTTCGTCTAGCTAACACTGGTGTAATTTTCCAGTGGGAGATTTATACGACGTTAAGATATGTGTTGTATACCTTACTGCTACGCCGCGCCACTTTTCGTCGCAATCGCACTGATTTATCGAAATATTTGCCGAGCGACACCGCGAGCGACTCTTATCGACCAGATTATTTTCGCGCCACTGAGACAGCGTTTTACAGAAGAAATTTCTCTCTTTCTTTCTTCCTTTTTCTCTTTATTTCTAATACACGATAACACAAATACGTTAATTCAAGATTCTTTTTTAGCACAACATGTTGAAAGAAAAATTTATGTGAAAACAGAGAGAAAAAAAGGAAGAATTATATATATATATATATATATATATATATATATATTCATATTCTGTATGCAATTTCCAGTCAACATATACAGAAAATATTTAAATAACCATACTCGTAATTTTCTTTTTTTTATCACCGTGTTTTTTTCGCTTCAAACGTATTCAACTTAGTTTCAATTAAAATCATTGCCGAACTTGTAAAGGGGACGAAGTCTGAGCGGATCGCAAGAGTAAAAAATAGCAATCGCGATTTGATATTCACTCGCTTTTATTACTTTTTGGTTTGTTTTCCAACCATCGCCTTGCCGTTTTCCCATCGACGAGCCTATATTTTTCTTCTTCTTCGTTCTTGTGTATACGTGACACACTTATATGCTTCTTTTCGGAATACATCACGAGCTGGAACTCTCGTATAAGTATAAAACAAAGCTTCCACCCCTTGGTTTCATCCCCATCGGCGCATAAACGGGGCCGCTTACCGAGAATGCGATGCGGCGCGCAGCACAAGCGTGCACGCGCGCGCGCGCGCGCGCACGCTTGGGGTGGTTTCCTTCGCTTGATTTCTCAACGTTACGTATAAATTGATGCGTCGTATGGGGAGGAGGGAAAAGCTCTCTTGCGCTCAGTAGCGCGCTTCCCTTTTTAAACGGGCGATATTCCACGCGGGATACTGAGCGTTCTCGTGGGCGATGATGTGGGGCCGATATTCACCGTTGAAACAGATCGCATCGCAATTTCCGCGTTATCCTCGTCGCTTCTCTCTTCTTTCGCGTCGGATGGTTTTACTTTCGAAAAAGTTCGTTGCGCGCAATCGAGATTTCTACTTAATTGCTCTTACACGCGTTCTCTTTTTTATCTCGTATAAAAAAGTGAAAAAAATAGTAAAAAAATATTAAAGTAAAATATTCTATATTTTATCAATATTACACGAGATTATAGAAAATTTTATACTAAAATGTCTTATTTTGATAAAAACACACGTAAGCTTTGTCTTGTGCATTTATTTATATTTTTGTTTACTTTCTACATTGTTCTATTAAAAAGTAGTATTGCTGTCAAAATATTAAAATGCGTGTATCAGAGAAAAATGCAGTCGTAAAAAATTGTCAGGCGTCAAAAATCGTTACAAATTACAATTGCTATATGTTGTGTGCACAATGGATTTTTCTTTTCCACAGTGCGATTTATAGATATTTATATATTTCGAACACAGTTTGTGTTACTTTAGATGACAGTTTCTTTAAATATCGTCGCTTATGAAAAGCGGTTTTTATGCAGTGACTTCGCGACAATGCAGAGAAAACGCGTGATAAAGCGTTCGCTGAAGCATCAGAAAACCGATCGCAGCCAGACGAACAGGCGGAACATCATCCGATGTTCTAGCGAGTGCAGAATTTACCGGAGCAGAAGTAACGGTTGGCGTGGCTGTGACAGCAACCCTCTATCTCTTGGTTTAACCCTCCCCCCGCGCTGCTCTCGTTCTCTTCTTCCCCTCGAATACCCCCTTTACTTCGACCTAACGTTTTCACCGCAATTCGCCCCCTCATTGCTGCTCAAACGTCTTAAGCGTCTCGCTGTACCTGACGTTCGCAATCTTCTTGAACTCTCAGAAAATTATAATACGAGGAATCCTACACCAATCACGATTAGGCGTGGTTTCTTCTTTTTTTTGTTGCGGAAAATGAAATTTCGCTGAAAATACGAAATTAAATGAGATTGTCACTTTTATCGCAAACTCATGTTTAAACTACTATCCTTCTTTTTCCATCGCTGTAACATTAATCCATTACATTAATCCATTAACATTAATCCGTTACTAATCTTCTAAACAAATTGCAACTTGTAAAGTTATTGTGCGGTTATTTGTAAACAAACTTGTTTCTCTTGTGCTAATATTTATTGTAAAACCACACTTCTAAATTATTGTAATAAACAAATAAAATATATACTTTCTTAAGTTGGAACAAAAACAAGTATCAAGCTAGTATGAGACAAAATTTTGCGTTGTGTGACGTGTAGAGAGAATAATTTTGGAGGCGGTGCTTTACATATTTATATATTCGGTTATGAATGTGAGACATCTCGGAGGGATGGTATTGGTCCGTTGGATCAAACCAATCCATAGCCTGGGGTTATCATATCTGTGGAACGATACGCCCTCGCTATGCTCCACCCCGAACAACAATAATTTAAGAGCGCACGAAGGGTAGTCACCACCCATCATTGTGCCTGGAAAAAAAGCGAAAAAATGAAGATACGCGATTCCGAGCCGGGAAAATGGTCGGCAGAGTAACTTTATGATGCTTTACAAACTTGTTTTTTCTTTTATTTTTACTCTATTTTTTTTAAATAACTGTTTTTCAAATAAACATAAGAATTCCAGATATATTAAAAAAAAACGTAGAAAAACAATTATTATAATGTCATATTGAAAATTATTTACGTTTAAGAGAGAGCAAAAACAAAATTCGATCTCCAGGTAGGCATGTGCGTCGAGATTGAACTAAGACTCGTGGAGGATCAGAATCTTGACATCACCAGAGAGAAATCTTTGGAAGTCTTGGAGGCCGCTAGGAATGCTAACCCTCCAACCTCATTAACATCTCGCGTTTCCATCACCCTCAAGCTTCTCCTTCTAAGAAAACTATCTTCATCGCAACAACCGGCTTTAATATTTCGCATACATAAAATAGCTGAGTTTTATGTTTTCTTCCTTTATCGAAGACGAGAAATTAGATTGAATATATGTAATCGCGTCTTGATATTTGTTACAAAATTAGAAATTGCAAATCTGTACAGACATGCGCTTAATCACAAGTAAAAATCCTGCTTACAATTTGGAAAAACTTGTGATATATGAAATTAACATCTTGACGCCGGATTAAGGAAGAATCCTTCTTGGCGCCGGAAAAATGTCGAAAAATTATTTTAATTGCTAAAAACTTTTGCACCACTTGAACGAAGAGAAAACGAACTATTTACAACGTTTTATCTATTTATTTAAAAAAAATGTATACATTAAATACCGATTTAAAAACT